GAAGGGAAATCTTCACACTGGGCAGAACTTTAGGTAGTACATTTGATAATACATTTTGTTTGGAAAGAAAATGGCCAGATGTGCTACTGTTCATTGATTCATGGGATGTAGTCAACAAAATGGATCGATGGTCAGGAACATGGAAGGAGCATGATTGGAAAATTGGCGAGAAAGACATCTGGGGAAGAACTATGTGAATAGGTGTCTTCAAATGGGAAAAGGGTATGAAAATACTTTGTGTCCCATGCAAATGCTCATTAAAAAGTGACTTCAGCAGAGGAACAGTTCAATAATCAAGTAGATAGGGTGACCCATTCTGTGGACAGTCAGCCTCTTTCCCCAGCCATTCCTGTCATTGTCCAATGGACCGACAAACAAAATGATCATGGTGGCAGAGATGAAGATTATTATGGGCTCAACAGCATGGGCTGCCCCTCACTAAGGCTGACTTGGGTACAGCTTCTGCTAGGTGCCACATTAGCCAACAGCATAGACCAACACTGAGCCCCATATATGGCACCATTCCCCAGAGTGACTAACCAGTGACCTGTCTATGAACTATTTTTATGGACAGAGAAGTATGGATATAGATTATATAAACATAAGTTTGTTCTATCAGTTCTGTTCTTCTAGAACAGCAGTTCCCAACCTGTGGTTCATGACCCCTTTGGCATCGAGTGACCATTTCACAGGGGTCACCTAAGACTATAGGAAAATACACATATTTACATTACAATTCAAAACAGGAGCAAAATTACAGTTGTAAAGTAACAACAAAAATAATTTTATGGTTGGGGATCACTACAATGTGAGAAACTGTATTAAAGGGCCACAGTGTTAGGAAGGTTGAGAACCACTACCTTAGAGAACCCTGACTAACATTAGGTTCTTACCTCAAGTTCTGGGAAGCAACCAAAGGGAATAGTCACTGGGATTTTTGTTAGATATTCTATGGCTCTTGAAGGGAGACATTTTACTACATGTGGTATAACTCTGTGTGTGTGTGTGTGTGTGTGTGTGTGTGTGTGTGTGTGTGTGTGTGTGTGCATCTAAGTAATGTTTATTACATAATATGCTTCCCTACATTTTTCAAATGTCCTTGGTATTAGTTAATTTTCCTTCCTATCTCTTCTGTATTACACTCCCTTCCCCCAGCTACAGTGTTCCCATTTTCTCTTTTTTCCCCTTTATAGTGCTTCTGTCCTACTGATCTCTCTGGCTCCTTCTCCCCTGAGTTTTAGGAACTCCTTTTATAGTAGCATTGAAGCAAAGAAATGTCAGTATTTCAGAATATTTGTAATACTGACCTAGTGCTGTGATGAGTAAAATACATTTCTCCAACACTTTATTTCCTGTAGATTCACAACCAGATCCAGTTATTTGAATAACTTCATTAATGAATTTTCCAGTTATTGTTTTCTGAGGATAAAATACTTTTCTAGGTTAACTTTTTTCCTCTTGTTTTGGCTACTTACTGCTCTTTCATAAACAGTATGAACATGAAAAAGTAAGAAAGATTGAAATTTATTTCTGAATTTTGTACATAAAATGTATGATGCACAAAATTCAATTAACATCACATACTTATCAAGTATTTATATTTCTAAATATAATGTATAATCTCTATGAAGAATTTTTGTTTCAAGTGGTGGATGTAAGAGGGTTCTAGATTTATCATTGACATTGAAATGTTTCCCACACTCTAGGCAGTTTTTTAGTTATGTATGGCAGCTGTTTTCTCTTTTTAATAATTTTAAATTATCTTTTGACAGTTTTGCACATGTATATAAGACTATTTTGATTATATTATCCCCATATTCATCTCTCCTATCTACCTCACCTCATAGTCCTCTGGAACTGTTGTTTTTCCCAACATATCTCCATACTTTACTTAGGTTTTTTATTATTATAAAATTTACTTTAGTTTAATAAATGAAAATAGTTTAAATAAGAATCATTTGCATATGCATGATTGTGAGGTTATTAATACATCAAGGACAATTTACCAGTGGGTATAGGAATGAAAAAAATAAGCCTCCTTCAGTCACCATTAACTACAAATAGCTAGGGGTCTCATTTGTCCTCACCCCAATCATTATGGAAAATTGATGTGCTTTATTGTGTGCAGGATTTGTGTAGGTAACCATAGCTACTTTGAGCTCATGAATGCAATAACCATTTCACATCAGTATTACAGTATTCACATCATCTACTCATACTCTGAGCATTACATTCTTTTTTGTCTCCTTGTCCATGCTGTTCCCTGAATATTCGGGTGGAAGATACAGGCTATAGATGTCTTTTTCTAGGTCTGAGCATAGACTAGTCATGTATTCTCTGATCATTTATTGGTTATGAGCATCTTTATTAAATGATGCCCACTGCAGCAAGAAGCTTTTCTGGGTAAGGATGAGAACATAATCTATGGGTAGAAATGTAAATATTTAGAAAACAGCTTTACAACATGTCCATTTACTAAACCAGTAATGAGTTTCTCCTTAGGGCCTATGACTTTCTGAGAGATTTTGGCCAGATTTGACTCCACCTGTAAAGTGCACCTTAAATCCCCAAAGAAAAGGATTAGTTATTCCACAATAATCATGAGACTACTGTGTAAATGGGCAATCCTGCCTGGTTGACCAATATAGTAGAGTACAGGTTCCATTGCAGAGTAAGTCCACCGATGACTTTTCTGCCAGCATCCTGTGTGTTACCCTACCCTCCAGAACTATTAATGCTAGCCTACAGGAGGGAATGTTCTGGCTGGGTTCTAGCTTGATTTGTCTGTTTTAAACCAAACTATGGAGCATCATCAGCAATAGGGTCTTATCATCAAGTTCTGATGGGCGACCAAAAGCAACTACAATATCCAGTATTGTGGATTCCTCTGAGGCTTTTCTGACCAGCAGCTCATAGGGAGATAGCCCATGCCTGTTGCTGGTCTTGTTTAATTGCACATGGTTTCAAGGAGCGGAATTATCTACCAATGCAATTCTAATTATTTCACTTTAATTCTTAAAAATTAACCTACAAGGTAATGGGTTTCTGTAAGAGATTTCTGTAAGTCTGAAATGCAATCCTAATTAGTCTTCACAATAAAAACCTGATGTCAGATGGAAGCGTGAAAGCTGATAGATCAGAGCAGCAGAGCAGCCAGCCACCAGAGACTTCTTACTCTACAAAATCTCAGAAGGAATAAATCGGCCTATCTCTACAAATCCTCAGACTGAATGGGCCAAGATCTTGTCTCTATCCACCTTATATTCCTGTCTCCACCCCCATGTGCTGGGATCAAAGGCTTGATCCTCCTACATGCTGAGATCAAAGGGTTGAGCCTCCCATGTGCTAGAATCAAAGTCCTCTATCACCCCCACCTGACTCTCTTTTTCTTTTAGACTCCATCAATTTCATGTAGCCCAGGGTGACCTTGAACTCCTGATCTTCCTGCGTCCTCTTCCCAAGTGCTGGGATTAAAGGTGTGTGCCACTATTGTCTAGCCTCTAATAGCTTCTAATCACCCTTTGATCTCCAGGCAAGCTTTATTTGTCAGAACACAAAATATCACACATCAATCCTCAGTTTTAGTTAAGCCTTCCCAAACCTCTCATCTCCCCGTATAAAATATTAACAATGTCGTCTAACCTTAATTATTGTCAATTTTTTTGTATGTACTAGGGGTTGAGCTTAAGCCTCACAAGTCAAGAGCTCAACCACTGAGCTACACCCACCAGCTATGCAGTCTTACTAAGACTGTAGTGCAGCCCTTGGTTTCTAAGACTGTAGTTCAGCCTGTAGTTTCTAAGACTGTAGTTCAGCCTATAGTTTCTAAGACTGTAGTTCAGCCTATAGTTTCTAAGACTGTAGTTCAGCCTATAGTTTGTAAGACTGTAGTTCAGCCTATAGTTTGTAAGACTGTAGTTCAGCCTGCAGTTTGTAAGACTGTAGTTCAGCCTGTAGTTTAGGGCTCCAGCTTATTTCAGTTCTTACAGAGCTGATTTTCTCAGAATTTTTGAGAAAACCCAAACCTTAGAGATGATCTTTTTTTTTTTTTTTTTTTTTTGGTTTTTCGAGACAGGGTTTCTCTGTGTAGCTTTGCGCCTTTCCTGGAACTCACTTGGTAGCCCAGACTGGCCTCGAACTCACAGAGATCCGCCTGGCTCTGCCTCCCGAGTGCTGGGATTAAAGACGTGCGCCACCACCGCCCGGCCGAGATGATCTTTTTAATTGTACTCCCTCTGATATTCAGATTAAAAAGAAGAACCCATAGAATACTAAACTTTGCTGATCACAGCCAAAAGAAGAAAGCTAATTTTACAATTATGCTCATAATACCCCTCATGAAACCTTAATAGTTAATGTTATAAATAAGTTATTAACACTAATACAAAAATCATAAAATTTATAGTTTCAATTTGAATTCCCAGTGAGTCAATGATCTGCCTTGGTATTTCCTGGGTATTTTGAAAAGAATTAATGTTGTCAAGATTAGCCAAAATCATAGAATGAGAACTATAGTAGAATGTAAGGCTATGGTTGTTAAGGCTTTGAAAAGATAATCATCCTATACTTATAAACCTTCTGACAACATTAATAAAATTTATAAAAGGTACTTAAATATCTAACAAAATGACTGTCTAGATTTGGAGAATTGTTGAGAAAGGAAGGAGGACAGTCCTCTGTGGAGCTCTGCTGTCCGCAAGCCAGTATTGACATGTGTGTGCTCTGTTAAGCATGTATCACATAGGAAATACAAGGCCAGCTCATAAGCATTTACTGATGTCATATGTAAAATCAAAGCTTCACTGCAGTCTTCTATTGGAGATGGCATTCTTATATTTTGCTGTCAGACAAAGTAACAGCAAGATGATGTAGCTTTCCCAAAATCAATAGAAGATTTTGAACCATGTGGATAGGATATGAAAATGTCCACAGACAGCTTTGCTAAACAGTGTGTTTTATAAACCTGATACTATTTTATTAGCTAAATTGTCTATTTTCAGGTGTTTTCTTACACTGCTGACAAAGAAATTCGAACTGATGACTTGTGCCTGGATGTTTCAAGACTCAATGGACCTGTAATCATGTTAAAATGCCACCATATGAGAGGAAATCAGCTATGGGAATATGATGCTGAGGTATGATGTTTTCTATGACTTACTTATCACTAAATACTTAAGTTTGGTTATTTTCTCCAAAACCAAAGCCAAAGAAGAAATGTATTTTTAGCATTCTTAATCATATTTAGATAATATTAGGGTGACATCATATAAACTGGATTTTGTCAAACTAGTCCATTGCTGTAAAATCATATTATGTGGTAATTTTTTTTTTATCTTCATGTATATTTCCAATGTAAATCCAGGAAGATGTGCTTCCATGAGATGTATGTGTAAATACAGGAAAATACTGAAATATGTTTGTATTTTAAAATCTGTTCCATTATAATATTTGATGTTTATAATTCTCAGTCTAACATTTTAAAGATCTGAATTAGAGTACCAAGATGTATTTTTTTCTTGGAAAGAATATTACAAGGAATCTATTTCTGTTTTCTGTAGTGGATTTGTGGTAGAATCAAATGCACTAGTCAGGAATAGAGTTAGCTGAGTACTCCCTTCACAGCATGTCATACCCTTATGTCGGAGAGCGGGGTAATGAAAACAAACAAAACATCCTGAGGATTTATTTAGGCCAGGTGCAAAAATTAGTTCAGCCATCAGATGGAGCTAATAAAAAAGAAATACATTCTCTTCCGAAGACTGAGTCTCGAAAAGACTTTTCTTTCTGTCAAATCTCTTGGCTTAGGAGGATGAATTGGTCATTGGGTCACATGTTAGACAATAGTAAATAGCAATGGATACATTCACCAGAAAAACTCAACTTTATTCTTAGGAGATAAAAACATAATAGAGGTAAACACATTCTATAGGTGCAGCATTTCACGAAAGCCTGATATTTTTCAGCGTCTCTGGTACCGTAACTATAACAAGATCTTATTTTAAAACATATTTTAAGTACCATTTTAAACTCCACTGCTCTGTGGATCGATATGCAAAATAAAAAAAATCAGTTCTTGCAAGATTAGAAATGTGTGTGCAAGGATAATTTGAGGCCTACATTTTGCATGTTGCCAGGCTCTGAGGACACCAAATATTTTCTGTGAAATAAAGACAAACACCTTGACTCCTCCTACATTGCATTATTGTGCTCTCTGCTGACAACTTTCCTTCTTTATTTGGCCACCATTTTGTTTTCCTGAACTTGAACTATTAGAATAGTGATAACTCTGTGTTATCACCATGCTTTATTCTAAGTCCCCTGACAACCATCTCTCTACTAAATGCAAATATAAAATCTGGATCTTTTACCTCTTCCTTTTTTTTTTTTTTTTTTTTTGGTTTTTTGAGACAGGTTTTCTCTGTGTAAGCTTTGCACCTTTCCTGGATCTCGCTCTGTAGACCAGGCTGGCCTCGAACTCACAGAGATCCACCTGCCTCTGCCTCCCGAGTGCTGGGATTTTATTTTATTAAGAGATTTTCTATTCATTTTACATACCAACTACAGATGCCCCTGTCCTCCCACCCGCCAGCCTTCTCCTCCAAACCACTCCCCATTCCCACCTCCTCCAAGGCAAGGTCTCCCATAGGGAGTCAGCAGAGCCTGGTACATTCAGTTGAAGCAGGTCCAGGGCCCTCCTCTGTGCACCAAGGCTGCACAAAGTGTCTCACCATAGGCACTAAGCTCCAAAAAGCTGGCTCATGCACTAGGGAATTCTCAACAGAAGAATCTCAAATGGCTGAAAGACATTTAAGGAATTGCTCAACATTCTTAGTCATCAGGGAAATGCAAATCAAAATGACTCTGAGATACCATCTTACACCTGTCAAAATGGCTAAGATCAAAAACACTGAAGACAGCTTATGTTGGAGGGATGTGGAGCAAGGGAAACACTCCTCCACTGTTGGTGGGAATACAAACTGGTACAGCCACTTTGGAAATCAGTATGGCAGTTTCTCAGAAAATTGGGAATCAATCTTCCTCAAGACCCAGCTATACCACTCTTGGGCATATACCCAAGGAATGCTCAATCATACCACAAGGACAATTGCTCAACTATGTTTATAGCAGCATTATTTGTAATAGCAAGAACCTGGAAACAACCTAGATGCCCCTCAACTGAAGAATAGATAAAGAAAATATGGTACAGATACACAGTGGAGTACTACTCAGCAGAGAAAAACAATGACATCATGAGGTTTGCAGGCAAATGGATGGAACTAGAAAATACCATCCTGAGTATGGTAACCCAGACTCAGAAGGACAAACATGGTATATACTCACTCATAAGTGGATAACAAATATAAAGCAAAGGATAACCAGACTGCAACCCACAGCTCCAGTGAGGCTAGCTAGTAAGGAGGACCCTAGGAAGGACACATGGATCACCCAGTGATGGAGAAATGGATGAGATCTATATGAGCAAACCGAGGGTGACAGGGTTAATAGAGGTCAAGGGATGGGGGATGAGAGCTTAGGGGAGTGGGAGGTTTGAGCTCGAATGAGAGCAGAGTAGGAGAGCAAGGAAAAAGACACCATGATAAATGCAGACACCATGGGAATAGGGAGAAGCAGAGCGCTAGGGAGGTTTCCAGGATTCCACAAAGATGTCTCCACCATAGACTACTGGCAATAGTCGAGAGAGTGCCTGGCAATAGTCAAAAGGGTGCCTGAGCTGGCCTACTCTGGTGATCAGTTGGCTGAATACACTGTCATCATAGAACCCTCATCCAGTGACTGACAGATACAGATGCAGAGATCCACAGCCGGGTCCCAGGCAGAGTCCAGAAGTCCAATCTGTGAGAGGAGGGATTCTATGAGCAAGGGACATCAAGATGATGATTGGAAAATGTACAGAGACAATAACCGAACTAGTGGAAACACATGAACTGTGGACCAATAGCTGAGGAGCCCCCATGGAACTGGACTAGGCCTTCTGGATAAGCGAGATAGATGTTTAGCTTGAAATGTTTAGGGGGCCCCCAGGCAATGGGATCAGGACCCGTCCTTAGTGCAATTTTATCTCTTCTATGAGGAAAAAAAAACCAGATAAAATAGTTCTGTGAATAATATTTATTTTTAAATAAAACATTGTGTTGTTGCTACTTAATTCTTCTCAAATCATAAAAGTTTATTAGGTTTTTGTTAAAAGCAGTAAAATACAGTACATGCATATTAAGAATGAAGAATTATATATTTTATAAGATAAAGCTGTGTTGTCCAGTATAACACTCCAATCTTTTAAGTTTTCTGAAGCCCTTGGCTAAACAATAGCTTCCATAGTCACAAGTAAAATTCCTCCACTGTGATAATATTGTTGATAATTACATTTATATCTTGTTTTTTTACTATCAGTAATATTTATATTGAATACTAAGTAACATTTAAAGGAAAATGAAAAACCATAGCTTTACAGCTAGGCAAATTTTTTGCATATTTCCTCTCATAATTTTTTTCTTCTGTAATATTTCATAAAACTATAAATTTTGAGATATATTAGGTTTTTTGGGTACTTCTAAAATACTTATAATATACCATCCATTTTAAGAATTTTTATTGAAAACAAATAATCTCATATCAAAAACATGTGTCATCATTTCATTTACTCCTATGTTTATGCGTTAGAAGCTAAATTTGAAGTTCCACTTACATAATGACCCTTCTGCTCAATTAGAGATGGTTCAGCAGGTAAAGATGACTAATGCACAGGCCTGGGGACTGTAGCTTAAATGTTGGAACTGACAGGAAGTTGAACCGAGAAGGTCCATACTGACCCCGTAAGGTTGTCCTTAGACCTCTACACGTGTGCCATGGCACACATGCCTCACATACATTTCATGGGCACTTACATGTATGTGTGAGAGCTCTCTCCTCTCTCTCTCTCTCTCTCTCTCTCTCTCTCTCTCTCTCTCTCTCTCTCTCTCTGACTTTCACTCTCTCACATCTCTCTCTCTCTCTCTCTCTCTCTCTCTCTCTCTCTCTGACTTTCACTCTCTCACATCTCTCTCATGTGGTGATATTGTGTCCCCCAATATATTGTACTCCCTGATAAACTTATCTGGGGTCAGAGAACAGAACAGCTGCTAGACAGAAATAGAGGCCAGAAAATGGTGGCACACACACCTTTAATCCTAGCATTCTGGAGGCAGAGAGCCATTTGGATCTCTGTGAGTTCAAAGCCACACTGGAAACAGCTAGGCATGGTGACACACGCCTTTAATCCCAGGAAGTGATGGCAGGAAGCAGAAATGTATATAAGGCATAAGGACCTGAAACTAGAGGCTTTTTAGAGCCTTGTTAAGCTTTTAGGCTTCTAGCAGCAGTTCAGCTGAGACCCATTCAGATGAGGACATAGAGGCTTTCAGTCTGAGGAAACAAGATCAGCTGAGGAATTGGTGAAGTGAGGTTGGCTGTGACTCGTTCTGTTTCTCTAATCTTTCAGCATTTACCCCAATACCTGGCTTGGGGTTTGTTTTTGTTAATATGATCTTTTAAGATTCATGTTACACTTTCATACACACAACAGTGAATAATAATTAAAAGTAAGTGTGTATGTGGATGCAGAGAAACCCTGTGAGAAGGGAAGAATAGCATATTACCATGCTCGGCCCTTTTAAAATTACTTTTGAATTTTGATTATGTTTTGTAGCAACTACAAAGGGTATAAGGTGTTTATGAACTTGAAATACTTTTGATGACTTCCTTTACCTCTAAGTGTTACATTTAAGGACCTTTCTTCCCACAACATATTCTGATAGCTGCTATAAGCAGTGAATCTTGAGCTTGCAATTCTCCTGGGACTTGAAATCTTGAATCTAAGACATGATGTTTTAACACATGAAATCCAAGTTTCTGTTTTGTTTTGTGTATTTATTCCCAGGTCTTTAATATGCACATTACAGTTTGATCTAGTTTCTAGACAGTGATAAATAGCTTCTTTATTTTTGGGAGGATTACTTATTTTGATTTTATGTGTATGAATGTTTACCTGAATGCAGTCTGTGTATGCAGTGCACATGGAGGCCAGAAGAGAGTCACAGATCTCCTGGGACTGGAGTTACAGACAGTCGTGAGCTGC